CTTAGGTGTATATATATATATATATATATGCTTTCTATTGGCCATTTTTCTTCTATACATATATATCCTACGTAGCTCATGTATAACATAAGAATATAAATATATTACAGTTTTGTGCAAAAATAATCATAATGTAAAAATTCATATTATGCAACAGAGTGCAAAACTACGTATGGAGCTCAAAGGGTTAAGAAAATATGATCTTAAACATTTTCAGATCAATCAACACTGGATTTCAGAGGATATTAAAGACTAAAATAAGTTTTTACATTAATACCTGAAGTAAACTTGCAGTGACACTTTTGACTTTCGAGTAGTTACCTTATGGCTGGTGCTTACCTGCACATCAGCGATAGATCCCGGGAATGTTGTGAAACAAGTTTATACTTAGTGTATTTTCCTTAATATTTTCAAAACACACTAATTTTAAAGACTTACTTTCAAGACTTGTGACATATTATCTACATAAAGTAACAGCATTGTGGCAGTGAACCGTAATAACAAAAATTGAACACATTTTTGACACTTTTTTACAATGAATATATTAATTTCTTTGTTATCTTTATAGGAACTTCTAGATGAATCTCGTTGGCAGATGCTGGTGAAGCAGTTTCGACAAGAAAACTTCAAGCTTTATCAGCTTAGCACCTTTTCTGTGTTTTCTGTGGCTCTTCAGGCAGGCCTTTCTGCTCTAAAAACACCGTATCCTTTTTTTTTTTCCTTACTCATTGCTGAATTGTTGAAAAGCACCATTTCCTCAAGTTAGGCTTTCAATTCTGAAGATATAGTTTTCTGTTTTTAATTTTAATTAGTCAATATTTTCTTATGAAAACTATTAGTTGTGAATAAAGAAAGAAAAAAATATCTGAGAAACTTAACAGGTAAAAGTCTAATCCCTGAGATCATTCACATCGAGATGAGCCATCATAAACAATAATATAAGTTATCCCTTACCATTTGTGGGCTGTAGAGATATCACCGATATTCCCTTGATTTTTTCCTTCTCACAGTGGATATAATTAATTAAACTGCATAAAATTTACAACAAAATGACTAAATAGTATCTCATTTTGTCTTTAAACATTCACTTCATTTAGTTTTGTTCTGAGCCACATATTATTTTTATTATTGTTGATTAGAAAGTTCCACTTTATATATCCTGTCAGTTTCAATCTGAAACTATAAAGAATCCCAGATCTGTTGTTTGTTCCTAACTCTGAACTTTTCATCAATTTCCATTGTTCTCTCTTGCATGAGCTAGGTTTATTACTTTCCCACAAAACCGTGAAGTACTTTTCACACCAATTTATGCATCTGCATTATGTAAATAGTTTATAATTTCTTCTATCCAATGCTGTTTAAACTTCTCTTGTAGTTATTTTTATGGTGTGAGATCATAAAGAGGCTGTGGTATTAAAATCAGAGGAAGAAAATAAAAGTCACTGAGAAATGAAACATAAATCATTATCTTCTCAAGGGATGATAAGTTTCTTGGAAAATATAAATATTCCTGGGGATGGGCAAACAATTCTTAAAAACTTGATTGGTGTTGTTTATCGGTGAAGCTCCTTGCAGCTGTGCAGAAAGGTAAGTTTCAATATTTCTAAAATTTTTATTTGCAAATTACACTAAATAAATGTTACAAAATGACAAGATAACAGTTTTAAAATATTTGAGTTAAACATTTTAACTTTGTAGTAATACAGAAATTAGGTGTTCATTTTATATATATATATATATGTGTGTGTGTGTGTGTGTATATATATATGTTTACCAGTTATTGGTTGGATAGGCAAGCTGTCCAATTGAGAGAACTTAGTTAATGACCATCCGAAATCTTCCCCATAAAAACTATAGTCTAGTTTAGAAATTTTTCAAGCTTTGATATTTGTAACTATCTTACTGTTTGTCATTGTTTCCCATCTAGTCTTGAACTTACTTGATTTATAAATGCCAAAATGACTTAATGTGTATATATATATGTTCTTTTTAATTGAAAAGTTGCATGTAATTTGCAAAAATCACTTTTCTACCAGTTAAAAAAAATTACTTTTATTGCATTTCAGCACTTTTCTTCTGTATACTTCTAACTAAATAATGCCAAAGAAATTGATAAAATTTATCATAAAACCATTTTTATGTATGATAAAATATATTTTTAGAGTAACATATTTTCATCAACTAATAGAGATTAGCATTAAATCGGTAATTGAATAAATGTTTATAGTGGAAAAAGGAATGTATTTAGTTTTTACATTTGTCAAGTAAAGAAACAAATATACCAGAATGCTTGTCTGAGGAGGCATTTTGCAGTACTTAACCACATAACAGACATTGCTATAAATCTGAAACAGAACGTAATCCTGATTGTCCTGTGTGCAGCCCAGCATTGAATTTATTAGCCAAACACCTTCCCTTTGCTCACTGCTCTCAGTCTAGATTGGTTTGTTTTATCTCAGGCCAACCCTTGAATGAACACAACCACCCCTTGATGTTACCAAATGGGTTTGTCTATGGGGAACAGGTAGAGTGAAGTTTAATTCCATTAACTTTTGAGTGTACAATTGAAAAAACAGCTTCTTTGGATGAAACTGTTTTCAGTTTTTAATTAAAACAATTAGGAACTTGAATATGAAAACTGTTGTATTTATTATGTAATAAATACTGTAATAAATAAATAGTTCCTCTGAAGTGATCAGTTTCTACTTTCAGGATTTTGTACATATAATTTATATTGTTCATAGGACAACATTTTTATTTTGGAAATATTGTTATCTCTGTTGTTAGTTTCATGAAACTAACCAGACCTAGACTCACCATTAATTTTTATATATATAAAATGAGCACTTTAGTAATTTCATTTCATGGAATATCAATTAGGTGTGTTGTACTGAAAAGTAAGACAAAATAATTTGTTCTTATTTAGAAGCTGTTAATTCAGTTTCTGTTAACAATTGTTGTTGTATAAAGATTTACATTTATAATGTAATTGTGTATTTACCTTAAATTAATTATGTGGTGAAATGGTGTAATTATCTTTCTGGTGACAGAGTTTCCTACATTAAATGACCTTTAGTAGTAATTTTACTGAACATTCTGTGATTAGCCTAGTCATGAAGAGTCATTAAATGATTTTACATTTTAATTTTGTTTAACCATTCAACATTATTGTGTAATATTTTTAGTAGGTAACATTAGAGAAGTTTAATTAGTGTGCCAGATGCTTTATAACACATTGTTATCAGTCAAGTAGAATTTTGTGTAGTTTCAGAAGTATAAACCTAACTGCTGCTTATTATAGTTCTAATCATTACCTAACAAGTGCTTCTTTCATTCTACTTGTGTGTAGTAAGAAACACAAAGTCTGATTCTGATAATTATATGGTACAAAAGTTTAATTTGACCAGCATTTTAGTTTAAAAAACAGCTCTGGTCAAATTGCAGTTTAAAAAATTTGATTATAATATATTAAAGAGAATTGTTTACAGGATTCTCGTTGAAACTCAAGTTTGGTATTGTTTTATTGAATTTTGTAAGGTCAGCTGATCTCATTTTCTGTATAGTTGTTTATTATATTTGACTGGAAAAGCTACATAAAAATTGTAAATATTTTTATATTTTGTAGTATTTTTCATATCTTAATACTGTTCTGTTTGTTTAGCATTTTTCATGTTTTAAAAACATTAAACACTTTCTGATTATTTTACTTTCCCATATCCTGATCTAAGTGTAATATAATATGCTTTTAAAACTCAGCTTGGCTTTCTTTTAACTTGTTCCAGTCCCTTAATCAGATGGCAACAGAAAATGATGGAAAAGTAACATGTCCTCGAACGAAAGCCGTGTTTGACTTGAGTGAAGCTGAGAAAATTTACGTAATGTGATCTTCTTGTTCAACTGTTGTATTATATAATGTACAAGCTTTCTTCACTTAAGACCAGATATATATCTTGTAGCACGTATGCCACTCTGAAACTTGGCATTGCTTCTATGTATACTCAGATATTAAATAATGATTAAGAAAACACATTATTAAGAGAGGATAAACTTCTGGATTAGTCAAAACTCAAATTGTAATAAAAACAATAAAAGCTATTATTAGTATCTTAAATGTGTGGTTATTAGTCTAATACTCTGTTGTTCCTAACATTTGTACACTTTCATGAGCACCTAGATCAATGAGGCTTTATACTAAAAGGTATTAAGGTATTCTTGAGGAATGGTAAAAAGTTTAATGTTATATGTATAAGAACTTTTCAAAAGAACCATCTTCACCTCATTCAATGTCAGCAAGTTCTGATTATTGTTGGTAGTTAGCTGCTTGATAGTTAGTCTAGCTACTTCCATCCAGAAATCCTTAAATTTAAACCTAATTGGGAATATCTTTGATGAATTGATTGGTGGTGGTCTGTTCGTTTTAAAGATGCATTTATGAGGACCATTTGACATAATTCAGTTTTCAAAAAAAAAAGATAATGTTGAAGAAGTTTATGATCATGAATCGCAATATTGGTTCATAATAGGGATGGCAAGGAATTGCACAAAACCTTAATAAAAGTTTGGGACTGTACCACCAGAAGTTTGTTAAAAAAAAGAATGAGTTTCAATAAATGAATAATGAAAAACCTCGTAGTAGTTCATGAAATTAAATTTGATGTTACTATAGCGTGCGATCTACACAGATACTATCATCACCACCGTTTTAATGATTCACTAAAACATGATTTCTTGCTAAATAATTTATATCCTCTACATTTTTGTTCAGCAAAATAATAACTTAATAAGTTGTGTGTTCCAAAGAGTACCTTAAATTTATATTATAATTGTGCTAGTTTTGATTGTTGGAATTTATTTCATTCCGATTATATTTGCCACCAAAACGCTATGTAATGGTATTTTGTACATTATTAGTTTAAAGGCGTTATTTATGATAAATGGTGCCAATTGCAAATAAGCGAAAGTTAAAACGGTGATGTTGATAGCATCTGTGTAGACCGCACACTGTAGTGTGAATATCTTTGTAGACCGCACTCTGTAGTGTGAATATCTGTGTAGACCCCACGCTGTAGTGTGAATATCTGTGTAGACCGCACGCTGTAGTGTGAATATCTTTGTAGACCGCACTCTGTAGTGTGAATATCTGTGTAGATCGCACGCTATAGTAGCACCTTAAATTTTTTCTGATGCTAATTCGGAGGACATAGCCTAAAATCAGTCAAGTTTCTAATATTGATTAAATATAAAGATAGGCTGAAACTGGAAAGCTCATATATGGTTCAATTTTTTTTACAAATTATATATGTAAATTCATAAAAATGTTCGAATTTACTTAAGCCATCGTTAAAATCTTCCAAAGTTCAATTATAAATATGATTTAATTTTTTGAAACTAAAACTTTTGATTATTTTACTTTATAAGTTTGTAAAAAACAGTGCAAAAGCATCTATAAAATGCAAGGAAGCATGAAAATCGAATCTTAATTTTGACACCTATTACAACTTATCAATATGTCTTTTAACGCCAGGATAATAAGCGTGTATGTTCTTAGTATGCCTCACTTTGAAGATGGGTGTGGAATAGATACACAGCGTGGTCACAAGTAAATAGACACCACCTTTTCAGAAAAAAAATGAAATTTTTCAGTCATATTCACATGAATTGATATATTTATAATT